TAAACATATTACTATATGCCTATAAACATATTATTACTAAAATTATTACTATAAACGTAATACTATGTGTTTCTTTTCTGAGCACTTGCCATGTATTAGTCATTTAATTATCATTTTCACTCTGTGAGGTGATTCTATCATAGTCTGAAGTTTGTAGATAAGGAAATGGAGATCCTAAGAAACTTGTTCCAGGTCAAACAACTACTAAACTCAGTCTTACTACACAGTAATGTGACTCAATATGGTGGCCATGGACTGCATGCGGCCGCTGAGAACTTGCAATGTGCTAGTGTGCTGAGGAACTGAATTTTTAATGTTTGTTAAAAATGCTACATCGTGGGGTATATGAAATTCGTTGTAGAGCACATCAATGGAAGGTACTCTCTTTGTGTAATCTTCTGTGCTTAGATTAAATGCTAAAAATCCACCGAATTGTACCAGGGTATCATGACACTGGTCATAGAGCTTTCCCACCAGTTCCAAATGTTTCTCTCTACCTTCCTGAAAGATCACCCTGTTCCCCTGCTGAGCTATCATCAAAACAAGGGGAAGAGCAAGATCATAGTCCGATAGTGCGTCCTTTAATCTCTGGGAGGATTTTTTAGTGTTTCTGATCTGGCCACAAGAACCTCCCTCAGCTTTTAGTTGCTCTCCACCAGTCATGGCCTCTAGTTGCTCCATTGTCATTGTCTCTTCCTGGTGATTCCTATTCCTGCCATTTTGTGTACCACCTCCTCCAATATAAGCAGGCCAATACTTCTGCCTGCCTTTAGCTGATTAGCCACGCATTGCAGAAGACCAGCAAGATCCATTGGATATTTAGAAAAAACTGCACCACAGAAACTAACAAGAGGCCGAAGCCAGCTTGAAATGGTTGTATCATCATGTTTCATCCTTTCCTTTTCTGGATTTGCTAAAGCTTCAATGATGCAATAGGCCAAGACATCATAATTCAATGAAGTGAGGTATTTCAGTGAATCTACTACAGGTGCCATGAACTCATCACACGTCGACAGAGTCGGTGAAGAATGATTTACACGGAGACTGCGTTGTTCTCTGTGGATCTTCCCTGTGCCTGGCCGAGAGTGACAAGATATAAAAAAAAAAAATAGTTGGATTGCTGTGGCTCAATTTCCCATTTTGTCTCCCAGAAGGCTTCACATTTTCCTTGGTTAGATGGTTCATGATATCTCTAGCTTTGTCTATTGTTTGAGCTTTAGCTTTTACAAAAAGTAGGGAACTGTTGTAAGTTTCATCCTTCCACTGGCCATACAGACGATATCTATGCTGATATGGAAATGTTTTCAACATTCCCCATAGTCCTCAGTCATACAAGCATTGCAGTCCATTAGAGAAAGAGATGGAAGTAGGACATGGTCAGTAATGCCAAGTAAACAGCTAAGAATAACTTCCATTTTCTCTTTATCTTCTTGTTTCCTTCCATCAGACTGAAACTCCTTCATAAAGGATTTGCCTATGCGCACCACTTTTGCAAATAAAATGGGATCCAAAGAAAGGTCACAAACTTATGGATATATGCAGGTCCCCAGTGTTAGACAAAACTCGGGACATAGCAGAGGAAGAAAATAGCTAAAAACTTGGTAAAGGTGGGTAAAGGTAGAGGCCAGGGTCAATGAAAAAGAGTATGTCAAGGAAGGGACAGGGAGTCCACCTGGGTTAAGACTGAGTCACAAAGTGAAGCTGGACAAGGGACCAGAGATTATGAAGAAATGAAGTCAGGGTGAAGCAATGGGCTCCAGGGCATGAGAGAAGACGGGGCATGAAGGTAAGGAAACCTGGGTGTTAATTTCACTCCACTCCAGTTCTCAATTTCCTTTCCATAAAATGAAGCTTTAAAATGAAATTACCTTAATCATTTAGACATTATGAGTCTATGAAGGCCACACAAATAGCCAAACCTATAAATATGGCACTGTTTAGAGACCAAAGCACAAGACAATGAGTTGGAGCCAATTAAATATGCCGGGGTCCAGCCTCAGCGGGTCCAGGGGTTCCCAAAGGTGTGGACAGAGTCGGGGAAGAATGTTTTACACGGAGACAGCGTTCAGAACTCTCTAGCTCTCCTTAGTCTCCGTGGATCTTCCCTGCGCCTGGCTGAGGCCACATAGAGAGATCCCAAGGCAAGCTGAGCCTTTATTTTATAGTGAGAGGTAAACAAGGTAGTGGTTACCATAGTTACACTGTTCTTGTGAGTTTCACTTGTTTTGGCCACTTTCTGCACCTCTCTCAGCCCATTAGCTTCCCAGATAAGATCTAGGAAGCATTTTAAGGTCAAGCCTAATTATGCTAAGAGGACTGTGCCCTCTAAGCTGGGACTTGTTTGTGACTTTGCCAACGGGTCAGTTCAAGGCTTAACCCTATATTGGCTCCCCACAATTTAAATTTAAATAGTCACACTTGGCTAGTGACTAGCATAGTGGACATCACAGCTCTAGGTAATGCTAGCTTTACCATTCCATTTTAGAGCAGAGGCGAGATGTTATCATTATGACTCTGTACACCAGTGCTTTTCAAAGCATCTTCTATAGGATGATAACTGAAGAGTAAGCAAATTCATAGTCTAAGTAAGAGAGAAAAAACCTGCATAGTGTTTCCCCCGTTGGGAACTCACATTTACATTAGTATATTTAAGGCTATAAAATAAATATATCAATTTTACTTTTTAAAAATGTAGTAATCAAAAACCTCTCCCCAAAAACAAAAGTTGAGGACCAGACAGATTCACTGGTAAATTCTACCAAACATTCAAGGAAGCATCAATATCAATTTTTCTCAAACTATTCCAAAGAATAGAAGAGGAAGGAAGTCTTCCAAAATCATTTTATGAGGCCAGCATCACCCTAATACCAAAACCAGACAGACACCAATAGAAAAGAAAATTACAGGCCCATATCCCCGATGAACATAGATGTAAAAATCCTCAACACAATATTGTTGGGGTCCAATCCTAACAGGTCCAGGGGTCCCCAAAGGTGTGGATGGAGTCGGCGAAGAAGGAATGACATAGAGACAGCATTCAGTTGATCAGCAGCCTAGCCAGGATCTCTAGCCAGGATCTCCAGCCAAGTTCTGGTGTTTATGGTCTATGTGACCTCAATCAATGCAGTAAACATATTTGATAAAAACAGTATCCATCATGATAAAAAATTTATACCATGTGGTATTAGGAAATGTACCTCAACATAAGAAAGGCTATATGTGACAAGTGCACATCTGATATCATACTGAGTTGTGAGAAGCTGAAAGTCTTTTCTCTAAGATTCATAAGTCCTTTCTCGGGGAGGTGGCCCTGGCTAGAACACGAAGTGGTAAGAAGGGAAGCAAACATATTAAGAACAGTATGCTATATACGCCAGGTCCCTTGAAACATATGTTGTGCAGATGTTTCTTCCCTGCAGCGACAGTGTCAAGCAACAAGGATGGACCGGCTTCCGGCACAATATTACCAAACTGAATTCAACAATACATTAAAAAGATCATATACCATGATCAAGTGGGATCTATCACAGGAATGAAGGATAGTTTAATATTTGCAAATCCATCAATGTGATACATCACATTAACAAAATGAAGGATACAATTTATGTGACCTCAATCAATGCAGTAAACATATTTAATAAAAACAGTATCCATCATGATAAAACATTTAAACCATGTGGGTATATACGAAATGCATCTCAACATAATAAAGGCTATATGTGACAAGTACACATCTGATATCATACTGAGTTGTGAAAAGCTGCAAATCTTTTCTCTAAGACTTTTCAAAATCCTGCAGCCACAACCATGCCTTCTTTTTTATCCAGGTAATATCATAACTTATATAATACAAAATGTACATAATAAGTCTTTAATCTCTAAAACACTTACTCTAGTAATATTTTCCTTTGTGTTTTATTTTTCTGAAGAACATGCACATACATAATTTGATAGTCATTTCAGTGAATTTTTAAAACCTTTTTCATTTAGTCCAAGGTAGGCACTCTAGTAATAAATGGATTTAAATTTCATATTGTATATTGCTTTCTGTTTAACATTGATACATTAGGTTTAAAAATGACACCTGGCTGTATGAACCAATAAATTGTGGGATCTATCACAGGGGTGCAAGGATAGTTTAATATTTGCAAATCAATCAATGTGATACATCACATTAACAAAATGAAGGATACAATTTATGTGACCTCAATCAATGCAGTAAACATATTTGATAAAAACAGTATCCATCATGATAAAAAATTTATACCATGTGGTATTAGGAAATGTACCTCAACATAAGAAAGGCTATATGTGACAAGTGCACATCTGATATCATACTGAGTTGTGAGAAGCTGAAAGTCTTTTCTCTAAGATCATGAATAAGGAAAGGACACCCACGTTTACCACTTGAACCAAAGTAGAATTAGAGGAAAGTCCTAGCAAGAGAAATTAAGTAAGAAAAAGAAAGAAAAGGCATTTAAATTGGAATGGAAGAAGTAAAACTCACTATTTACAGATGGCATGATATTGTATATAGAAAATCCTAAAGACTAGAGCTAATAAATTCAATCAAGTTCCAGGGTACAAAATCAATACTAAAAATCTGTTGCATTTCTATACATTAACAACTTTCAGAAAGAGAAATAAAGTTAATAACCCCTTTTACAATCGCATAAAAAAGAATAAAATATCTAGAAATAAATTTAGCCAAGGTGAGGAAAGATCTGTATATTGAAAACTGCAAGACATTAATAAAAGAAATTGAAGACACAAATGAATGGAAAGCATATTCTGCGATCATTGATTGGAAGAACAAATATTGTTAAAACGTCCATACTACTCCAAATAATCTAAAGATTCAATGCAATCACTATAAACATTCCAAAGATATTTTTCAAGAAAACAGAACAAATAATCCTAAAATTTGTAAGAGAACCCCCAAATACCCAAATAGCTAAAGCAATTTTGAGAAAGAAGAATGAATAAAGCTGGAGATGCCATACTCCTTGATTTCAAACTATATTACAGAGCTATAGAAGAGCGATTTTCAACTGGTGAGCCACAATAATTTTTAAAACATGAAATATCTGACTAGCCAGGGAACTAATCTCTTTCCCCTTAGATTATCAAATAAAAACATGATAACAGCTTACATAACAATAGCCATCTGGTGTAAATGCCTTGTCCTGAATCATAAATATATTGGTTATATAACAGAGTTGCATCTTATTGGTTACATCACATAATAAGGTTGCATCTCATTGGTTAATTTTTGGTACTTGAAATCTTTATATACAAGTACAGGCACCTGAGTTTTAAAAAAGTCACTTTGGAGCAAGGAGGGTAGGTAATTACTATTATTAATTTTATTTTGTAACTCAATAAAAATTATAACTATTTTTTGTTAAGTTGGCAAAGACATATTTTTTTGTGTGCTGGAGAATTTCACTAATTAGTTTATGTGTGCCATAAGATGATAAAAGTTGAAAATTGCTGCTGCACTAATCAAAGAGATATATGCATCCCATGTTCATTGCGGCATTATTTACAACTAGAGGTCTGGTGCATGAATTCATGCACTAGTGCAGTCCTGAGGCCTGGTTGGTGATTGGGGCGATTGGGCCTTTCTCACCCAATCCCGAGTGGGGCCATTCAGGGCCAGCCATCTGGGACAGTATAGTGAGGCAAAAAAACATATGAATCAATTTGAAAAGGATCATCTCTTCAATAAAAGGTGTTGGCCAACTACATGCAAAATGAGAAAACTTGGCCACTCTCTTACACCATATATAAAAATTAACTCAAAATGAATTTAAGACTTGAACATAAGACCCAAAACCATAAAACTCCTGGAAGAAAATATATCAGTAAACTCCTTGACATCCATCTGGGCAATGATTTTTTGAACCTGATAATGAGTTACAAAAGCAACACAAGCAAACATAAATAAGTGGGACTACATTATACTAAAACTATCTGCCCAGCGAAGAAAACCATCAACAAAATGAAAAGGCAACTCTATTGAATGGGAGAAAATATTTGCTAATAAAGGGCTAATATTCAAAATATATAAAAAACTCAGAAAACTCAACAGCAAAAAAAAAAAATCTAATTGAAAAAGGGCAGAATATCATAATAAACATTTTTCCAAAGAAGACATACAGTTGGCCAACAGATACATAAAAGAATGTTCAACATTATTAATCATCAGGGAAATGTAAAAAGCACAGTGTGACACTTTATAACTTGTTAGAATGTCTATTATCAAAAAGACAAGAAATAACAAGGTATGGTAAGGATGTAGAGAAGAGGGAAACCTTGGTCACT